CAGTGCTCCTCTGCACAAGCAATCTGAGACTTCACAGCAATAAAGACAAAAAGTCAATATTTAGCCACCCGAAGGAGACAGGGCAACGTACAGCTGCTCTTAAAAAGATTAAGGAAAGCAGAGGAGCCTTAGAGGAGCCTTCCTGCTGGTGAAGTCCAACAGAGAAATTCCAATTTCTGGAAGGGTTTCCCCTTCCCCTCTAGCAAAAGTAGCTGGCAGCCACATGCAAGCCCCTCTCTTGGAGGCTGCAGCCTCCCAAGACCCTGATTAGCCTGTATCTAGCCCTGACCTCGCTGTCACACATAGCTACAGCAGAAAGCTGTGTTCTCCCAAACATCTTCAGATCACCTTTTACTTGTAGAATAGCCAAGACAGCACAGAAGCAACCTGTGCTTCTATTCAACATCGCACGCTGAATTCTCCTTTTAAAGTTGCATGAAGTTTAATCACATTTAGACCACATTGTGTGCACCAAAATAGCAAACAGGTGGGTCATCATGATATTTGTTTTGCACGTTTTGTAACTCAGTTACCTCATACACTTCTCAGAAGTACAAGACCCAACAAAGAGTTTGCTTGGAAAAAAAGAAGGCTGAATCATTCTAGTTGTGCATAAACATGTGCTGAAAACACAGAAGCAAATACATGAAAGTATCTTCTGTTCTCAGACTTTGTTACCTGTTGTCTTAGGCATCTCAAACTCTGTTCCAGTAAATAACACACAAAACTGCTGCTTGGTGTAAACAGCAGCAACGCCATTTATTGCTTACCTGGCTCTCATCAGGACTCTCAAAAGCTTAGGAGGAGGGGGACAAAGAGGAAAGAACAAAACCAAACAGAACTGACGTGCAGGGAAGAAGCTGACACCAGCTTTTTTTTACTGACCCCCAAAACCACATTTTCTCTAACAGCACTGCACTGGTTCCCTTCTGCCATCACTGCCAGCAGGGCAATCTTACCACAGCTGGTACAACCTCACCTCCATGACTGCTTACAGGTTACAGGAAAAAATTTTTCACTATGAGGGTGGTGAGACACTGGAACAGGTTGCCCAGGGAAGTTGTGGATGCCCCATCCCTGGAAATGTTCAAGGCCAGGCTGGATGGGGCTTTGAGCAACCTGGTCTGGTGGGAGGTGTCCCTGCCCATGGCAGGGGGCTGGGGTGGAACTAGATGATCTTCAAAGTCCCTTCCAACCCCAACCATTCCATGATTCTATGATACAAACTCGCACCAAGTCCTCCACAGGGTCCTTGGTATTTCCACTATTACTTCTAGTCCTGCACTCCTTCCTATTGCTTCCAAAGGGTAATTTGTGCTGTGCCAGCTGCCAGGGCATTTCTAGCAAAAGGAAGTAAGGTGCCCGTGATCACATCACTCATTGTATCTCCCAGCTGGTTTCCCAATTTCAGCCAGGTTTTGAAAAGGTGGCAGTCTCCAAGATGCATCCTTTCCAGCCAGTCTAATGAGCACCAAAGCCTGGGCAACTCCCAGTGCCCCCTCCAAAGGTAAAGAAGGGAGGTCAGCCCCAGCTATTGGTGGCACTACCCAGACTGAGCAGTCCTGAGTCTTGCTCCAGTGAGGCACTGCTGAAGCTATCTGGGGAAGGAAGGAGAAGGGCAAAGGCTACAAACACATAGGAAAATTCACTAGAAATAAGTACAATATTCAAAATATAATTTTGTAAGTGTATCGGTCAGGATGTAATTAATGTTACTTTGCTTTGCACCCAGATATAAGTACACTAAAATACTGTATTTTATAACACCGTGATGGTGTAGCCAGACACAGTGTATAATTATTTCACATACATATGTGAGCGATGTGACCACCACAGGGGCAAAAACCTACGTAGTTGCACATGGACACATCCAAGGAAGAAAAAATTGTAAGCCAAGGTAAACACAAGGGACTGCAGATAGGAAGGAGAACCCATCAAATATACAGGAAGGATGACTGGCAAGACAAAAAGCAAGGTAAGCAGTATCAGGAACAGATGAGATCCCCTCCCCTTTCAGGAACTGGGTGAGTAGTATAAAACCATGCAGCTTAAACAATACATATATTGCTGAATATATATATATAAGAGCGTGCACCACAGCATGGCACTCTGCAAAGGCTTTACAGGTATAGAAAATGACCTGACCTAAAACTTTTGCAGATAAAATACACCTCACATCCCTGCCCAACCCTCTTCAGACATCAGTCTTTGGTTCAAAACTAATATAGTCCAAACACAATGAAACCAAGCCACAAGGTACACTATAGCTGATTCCAAATTCGTGGGATGTGTAAATGTGTGCTTTATCTCACATTTCAGTGGAGTCCAACGCCAAGTGCAGCAAATGTTGAGAAATACAAGGCTGATGCTTCTTCTGACCTGACTGGGCTACCAAGTAAGATGGCAAGTGTGCTCTGCAAGCTATCTGTGTTTTCTTCTCTGAACAGAGAGAGTAAAAATGTTTATAGCTATTTGAAAAACTCCTGTCTTACTAGCAACGTCCCACCAAAATGCAAACATACACCTTCTTAAACATAGCTTTCTTACTTTGGCTAGAATAGAACTTTTACGAGGAACAAAGCTTATTACAAGAGTTTCCAAGATGGAAAAATAGCCGTACATAATTCTAACTCATTTAAATTCCTTGGTTTTACAGGCTACAAGTGAAAAGGAGATATAAGCTAAGCCCCACAGATGCCTAAATTTCAACAATTTTCAATTATTTCCACAGCTAAAAATACTGCAGTGAAAAATGGCCACAGATGCAGAATCATCATGACAGCAGAAAAAAAAACCTCACATGTAACAGAACAAAAAATTAACAAAACTAATGGTTTCAGCTTAGTAGAGCAGAACCTATTATGAACATGTCAAGCCCTTTTCTATTTCAAATTTAATACTACTCTTGGATCTATCAAATGACCCTTAGTGATAGAAAATAATAAGCTATACAAACTGAAAGCATTGCTAGCTGAAAAACAGATATGGGCTCAATCCCATAGCTCACAGTTGACATTCTTACCCCAATATGTCTTAAAGGCAGCGTGAAGGTATCTAGAAGCCCTGGCACGGGTGGGAGGAAATTTAGGGCATTGCACACCAGTGCAGCTACTGCAGGATGTGCCACCAGCAATCCCCCACGCAAGCCCTGATGCCAAGGCATTCGTGGCAAGGTGCTTCTGACACTGCTCTTTGGAGACTGCCCAAAGGTGCAACTCATACAGCCTCCCAGAAACTGCTCTGGATTCAAGACAGAAAGCCATATGGGCGAGTTAAAAGTTTCCAGACCCCGCTTTGTTATACGATGCAAGATCTACGTGTCTCTGCTGCATCAGCCCAGACACGTCCATCGGGAGGATGTTCAGACACAGGCAACAACAGCCAGACAAAGGGTAGACAAGGAGCATAAGCAGAATTGAGACACATTACGCCCACTGAAATAAATAGAGCATGTCTAAAGGCTTCTCCCAGCTGCATTCGGCACTCACCCATGGCTGGCTCTTGGTTTAGACAAAGTCAGCGAAGTTTGCACAGATGCCAAACAACTGTGACTGTACTTTCCACTTTGCTGGCATGGCATGGCACTGGAGAGCCAAGCTCAGAGCGGGTGCTCCTCTTGCTACCAGCCAGGTTAGGGGTGTATGTATGGGGTGGCACCAACAGGGGACAGGTCGGGACAGCAGCATCCCCAGCCATCACCAACCTCTCCCTTCCTCAGTGCCCTGGAGGAGTGGAAAGCCCAGCTCTGACTGGCACAGTGCTCAGCAGTCCTCCCTTCCCCGAAGGGTTAATGTGCCATTAATGGTACTAAATCAGAGTCACTGAATTCTTGGGGGAAAGTGGAACCATGGTAAGGATGTCACCTTCTCCAAATTTTTTTAATTTAAAGCAGATTCTTCATACCAATCTGTTAGGTAATTTCTCATAAAACTTTTGTTACAAACTATAGTACGTAAATGTTTTGTGGAAGTTGTTATAGAAAACACAATTCATGAAGATCAGGCTGAAAATGCATATTAATCAATCTTATCCTAGTTTTCTGAAACACATAAATAGGTCCTTATCCCATTTAAGCTACCCTGAATTCAGGTTAAGTGAAGATACTCTCACTCAAGCTAGCTTCACAAATAGATTTCTTCCATGAGTTCAAACAATCAAGGGCTAAACTTAAATGTACTTGCTTGATGATTATCCACAACTACTTGTTAAAAAATAAAACCAAGTACATTTAACCTGTAGTTAAAATACCTAATATCCCTCCAGCGGCTTCTGACTTGCTTCCAAAATACATTAGTCAGGTACAGCGAAGTCACTATTGCCAGAGGAACTGGGTCCATTTTTCCATGCTGACAAAGAGACCAGAAGAGTACTAATATCTGTAGGGCTTTTATCAGCTCACTTAACCTCTGCCTTTATCATTTCCACCAGCTTTATTTGATCTGAATTTGCAGGACAGAAAGTCCTCACTGACAACTATAGGCAATGCATAACCTGGGGAACATCTCTGCAGCACAGACTGCAGATGCAAAGGTTTAACAGGTCAAGGTTCATTTTTGTTTAGGTTTTTCTGATTGCCCTTAGAAATTACTTACAAAACTTAAAAGGTCTCTGAGTACTCGGACAACAACAACAGGGAAACAAAACCTCACAGCTATCCTATGATGTTTCAAGATTTTGCTTCAGAAAAAAATAAATACTGAGACTGCGTATAGACTCTGTATGTTCTCTGAGAATTAAAATGCACCTTTTTTCCCTACTTACTACTGGGATTTATTATTATTTGCTATGGAGATGTCTGTTAGAGTTACAAATTATCAAAAGCAGAATGTCAGAGAAATCTTCTTAAGGCAAGACAGACAAACACCAAATGTTCTTTAGGAAAGCATCCTCTGTCAGCACAGATAACACCCTTCTTGTACAGGACAAGCAACCCCACCTCGCAGTTCTGTCTACCTCCCATTACCCTGCTCCTGTAACATAAAGGTGCTGCTAGATCTTACCGATGTACAAAACATGCAGTTGCAGTCCTGAAGAGTTGTCATCTTATCCAGGGAGTAGTCACAGAGACATAGCTTGCAAGTGAGCAGGGGCTCGAGAGCTAACTCTCCAGCTTCTGACTCGTCAGCTGTCATGGTGTGAGGACAAGCCTTCTCAGCAGAGCCCATTCAGTCATTAATGGTCCACTCAGCCTGGAAAGAGAAATCAACAGCTGAAACATTCCACGTGTCGTGTAGTCGTTCTCATTGGCCTGAGAATTTACAGGGCAAATCCATAAAAGCACCTACACACCAGTTTGGCATCTTGCTGCCAGTCTCACTCTTCAGGCCACTCAAAATTTACAAAGAAGGTGCCTGAGAGCCCACCTCACCACAAGACCTGAACTGGGTTGGGTTCTCAGAGAACACTCACCTTGCTGGCATGAAACACCTCAGACAGGCCATTTATCATCACATTAATAAAAAAAGCAATCCAAAACTCAAACAGATAAAACATTACCTATGTTATATGCAACAGTGTAGTGATCAGAGCCCTCACCAAAGCCTGAGGAGCCCTAGGGATCCGACTTGGGACAATGAATTCTTAATTAAAAAAGTAAACTGTCTTCATATGTACATTTTCATATATATATATATATATCTCACTGTGCCCTCTCAAACGAGTTTCAGAGTCATATCCTTTCTGTCCCTACGAATCCTTCAGTCCTCGCTGCACCCACGCTGTTTCAATGGGTGTCTCCACTGTGGCTCAGGAGCTCTCCTGGGCAGTGCAAGGTCACAGCAAGCACAGATTCCCACTTCCTAGGCAAGCACTTCAAATATTTAGGTTGTAACGTAGGTGGTGGGTACTGTGAGCTCCACCTTCTCTGTGGGTTGTTGCTGAGATAGCAAGCTGGCAGTCCATTGCAAGAGGGGTGGTCAAGGCAGCTAAACCCAGGAAGGGATTTCAGATCGTGTGTCCTACTTCATGCAGGGCCGGAGCTTAAATCAAATGAGTAAAAAATATTTCATGAGCAGTTCTCTTTTCTGCATTGCCTTGACTATGCCGGAGAGCTGCGTGCTCAGGTCTGTAGCTTTTGTGCATCCCAGTCCCTGATATCCAGCCCTTCTAACTATTTCATAGGGCTCTTAAGCATCTAACTGAGGTTTGTGAACCATGAACAAAGTGCACTAGTACTTTGACAAAGAGGTGCTCATAATAGCTGTATTTCCACCACACGTTATCTCCCAGCTGTGCTTGGGGAAGAAATACTTGTCCTTTGAGAAGTAACAAATGCAATCGCGCTCACTTGTACTGTTTTCTGACCTAAGTATTTGAAAACACTTCACCACAACCATAAAAAAGTTCAAGACTCTGATTCTTATATAGTAACACTAAAAGAGAAATTAAAGAAAATATTATCATGCTTAAGCTGAAACAATGGAAAGCAAATTTGCAGATTTTATTCACCTCAAAACAGACAGTGGGGTTTGGTGCAGCATTCAAGGCACAGGGAAATCTATTCCCATTTCCAAGAAACTTGACCCAGCATCCACAGGTCTGCTTCTGAATACACGCAGCTGATGGCAAGAAGTCCTTCACACACATTTTGTACAAGAAGAGACCTGGTGGCTTGCACCAGCGCCAAGTAAGAGTGCTAAACTGAAAAAACCACACCACAAATGGAGGCTGCATGAGCATGAAAACAACAGAGGACCAAGACCCATCAGTTCTGACATCTCACGAGGCGAACAGGAGACTCGAGCCCTTTGGTCCACTTCAGCTCGCCTCCCCCACAGTCCTGAGCATCCTCCTGGCCGGGCTGTCAGGTCACATTTGGCAGCACATCGCTGCTGCTGCCGTTCTGCAGCTCCCGGAGAGGCCAGGCAAGCTGCGGCCAGTCGGCGCGTACACGACATGCCAGCTTGCAGTACCTGCTTAATTCCTCCCCAGAGGGAGAAATGATGGTGCTCATGGAGTTTGAGGGGTCAGCACACTTGGAGCCTCACCCCACAGCTCCCACCTCACAACCCGACACACAGCCCAGCCCCATCCCCAGCCCAAGCCAGGCCCCATCAACCTCCCTGTGTTCCCACCAGTCTGCAGGAAGACACTTTCTCTTCAAAAGCCACGAAACCACAACAAATCTGGGTGGGAGCACACTTATCCCCTTTTAATTTTTACGCTTTGCAGTTTCCTAGTCTTGCCCGACAGAGAAGCCATCAGATGTATTCCCTGGCACCTCTTTCCTGTAAGCACCCAGTTTTAGAGACACAGGAGTCACAGCCAAGATTCTGGCAACCAAATTCCTGGCCACAAATCCAAAGCAAACTCTCTTTAATGGCTTGCTATCACTAATTCAAAACATATGCCATGCTCACATTATTCTTGGCGCAGTCCTCACCTGCTACCATGATGCCCCCCTCAATTTGCTCCGTACGGCTGCAGAGCTGGAGCTCCAGCATGGCCAGAAGCCTTGGAAGGAAGCCTCCCTCTGAGTCAGGGACTGCAATACTCTTCTGTAATTACCACAACGGGGAGCCAGGGAGGGAGGGGGGGAACAGTGAGTCACTGGAAACACTACAGATCAAGAACTACCTGTTATTTAAAACTACGTGCTAGACATTATCTCAGTATTTGAGAGAATTGTAACACTCAGGTATGCTTGTCAACAGCAGCTGCATCTGTACAGGTGTGCTACTCACCCCCACGCTGCATGGATCCGACATTTCTTCATTTACACAGTGAAAGGTAGCAACGTGAAGAAGGAGGGATGTACAAAAGAACAAGTAGGAATATTTCAGGTTGTGGGCACGGATATAAAATGGATACAGCTGTTTCCAAAGTCGGTGTTCTTTTTATAACCCAAACGGCTATAATCCTGCATGCTTTTATTAAGGCAGCAGTAGAAAGAATCAGGTGTATGACTGAGGTTTAGGGCCAGGGGCTAATTTTAGATATCCTAAATCTGGCCCTCAGGGTGATAGCCAGAGCATTTGCCACAGCAAAGAGTAGGCTCCTGGTACACCACACCGCCCTACAAGCCATCAGATACCACAGTGTGATGGCTGTGGGGACTCATTATGATATCCCAGCCACCCTTGGCCCCGAAGACTGTTTGTAGGTTACATTCAGTTTTGCTCCCTGTTCCCCCTCCACCCCACGCTTCTCCTTCCATCACACCAGGATGCCAGAGTGGGGCTGAAGTTCTCCCTAAAATAAGCAGAGCACCCTGTGGAAATCTTTAGCAGGCACCACCAAGCAAACCTGGTGGACCAGAGGATCCAGCCCACACACAGCCCGGGCTGGTTCATCTCACCACAGCCTCATTAACCCCGCTGGGACTCAGCAAACGAAGCAAACAGGATGGGAGCCACAGAGACAGCTCCATAGCCTGCCTCCACAGCCCCTGGAGGAGGCACCGAGGTTACCCACAGCAGCACTCCCTCCATGCTCCCTAAGGGGCCAGTTTGTCCATAAGTGGTCCTCCAGGTCAGGCTGGTGCAGACAGAGCCACCCTGTTGGTACCCTGAAAACCTGCCCATCAAAGAGAGAGCGGATGCATGGCCTGCATGGCCTGCTCCATTTCCCAGAGCAACCCAACCAGCGGGTCTCTGCTCACCAGAATTGTGATTTCTGCTACTGCTGCCAAGGGTAGCATGCAGGGGGAAGAGCTAATGGTTACAGAAAAGGGTAGCCCCATCCAGTGGCAACTGGGCTCTGAAGAGAAATCAGACCTGCAGAGGAGGTTCATTCCCATGATCAGATCAGATGGTGGAAACAATGCGGAGAAAAAGACACATCTTCCTCCTGCTCCCACCCTCTACTCCTCCTCTTACTCTTTCCCAACATTTCAAGACACGTTGTCCACTCCCAAGCTCTCAAACCATCTCTCCAGCTTTACCACCCTGGCAGAACTGACTTTTTCATACACTGCAGAGGAGCTGAGAAGAATTTGTGCTCCAAATTCTTACAGCTTTCACTTTGTTAGGCTTAGTCCCACAGACTGTCATTAGCTAATTATACATCCATTAGCTCTCTTTACAGTGGCTTAAAATTCCTGCTGTAATTACATGTGAGTTGCCAACAATTTAGGTTGAAAACAAAACACCTAGGATGTGTATGTTGTGCAGGGGAAGAAGGAGTGATTGAAGAATGAATTGGGGACAAAAAGGAAAAGATCCTTCCATTTTTGGGTTTATTAATAAAAGTGATCTGAAATAAAAGTAAATGGAAAGGTTCCCCCCAAAAAATGGACTCTCATATAAATAAAATACATTTATAAGCACTAAGCTCTTCCCTTTCATGCTTACAAACACAAATTGCCCATTTAGGATAGAATCCCAAATAAAGCAAGAAATGTATCACCAAAACCAGAATACAGTGCCTAACTCCTCACAAAAACATCCACGAAACAGCAACACAGGCTCCACGAGATGTTGTGGAATAAGGATAAACACAGCTCAGGGACGCTGTAATCTAGAGGGAAAATAGTAGACTGAATTCTGCACCAGTGTAAATTGTTGCAAGGAAGGGTCAAGCTAGTCCCAGTGTGCGTAAACACTCATGAACTGTAAAGATCCAAGTTTTTTATATACTTGTCAGCCACGTACATGCCCGCACACACACACACACACACAGACAGATCATACTCCCTTTTGCATTGCACAGAATTTCCAGGAAATGGGATGTATTTCCTCAAATTGTATGCTGCCCAGCCTATAAGGAAGAAAAACTCATCCTTCCCTGGCTGTCACACTAATGGCGTTGATGCCATAGGATAAGGCAGGACCAGGAAGCCTGAATGGATGTGAGTGAGCTATATGGGGTCAGTCCTAGGAGGGTGTAAACTGCCCAGCCACCAGGACCACCGTTTGCTGAGCCCTCAGACCTGTCAACGTTTCCATTTTGTTCATCTGCCCGTGGACACATCTGCTTTGTCTCTGGGTGGTGACAAAGCTTTGTGCTTTCATGTAGCACTGAAATGTCTCAGCACCCATCCATAAGCAGGAAAACATTTCAAAGCAGAAAAAGGGCTCAAGGGGGGTGGGAAGGGCAAGTACAAGCAAAAATACTTACAGGAAAGCAGGGGAGATTTTGAGCAAAATACAAAAAACATAACAAAAGCACTGGAGGAAGGAGCACAGAACTTGTCTGCCCTCAGGGCCTGCTGACACCACGGTGTCCAGTGTCTGGCTTTGAAAATTACTTC